GCCAGGTCGGTAATGTAAGCATCCCCATTTTACGGAAGTCCGTAGTTGCCATCCAGGAAGCCTCTGCTGCATTCGAAACCCAGGCTCTTTGCACGCATCTCTGTGGACGCTCACTTACCAGCCCTGTAGAGCAGCTCTTCAGATCTGCTTTCCGCAGTGGGGAAACTGAGGCTCTGTTACCTGCCAAAAGACCCACAGCCAGGAGCAATCATGGGAACAGTTACATCTGGGTTTTCTGACTGATTGTATTTTCTCTTTCGAATTTTATTATGAAAACTATGCCATCCAAAGGACATTTCACTAGGCTCTGCAAGACTCCCCTCTTTTTTCCATTTCTGTTCTTCCCCATTCCTCATAGCCGCCCACTCCAGTGCGCTTGCTGCACGCCCCACGTGTGTACCTCCGGGTTGTTCTGATTGGGTATCTGTTTTAATTCATTCAAATGGGGTTCTGGAACAAATCTCCTCCTGGTTTTTCTTTCTACTCGATACTCTCCTTTGATCCAGTCTTGTTGCTGTGTACACCTGGCTCACATGAGGGGCAGCGTCTGTCCTTGCCTTGCTGTAAGTTGGCATGTTTACTTCTCTGGTCCCCCACTGATGGACACTAGCGCAGCCACCAAGTTCTGTGACAAGCACCTTGCACCTGTGACCGTGTGAACTGTGGGAGGAACCCCTGGTCCCAACCCAGGGCTGGGCCGGTTGAGTCATTGCACACACTCAGATTTAATTTCACAAGTACTGCCAGAAGGTTTTCCACAATGTACCGGGCTGGACTTCCACTGGCTGTGCTCAGAGGCTTCTGTGGCCCCACGTCCTCCCAGCACCTGGGATATCAGCTGTATCAGAGAGGATGTATTTGATAGCCCAAGCACATCAAGGCACTGGATTAGCAGCTCTCATGCTCTCTTCTGCTTCAGACAGCACCTTATCATAACAGCAGTTCAAGCAGGAGAAATGTCTGGCAGGGAAAAGGGGGGTCCTTCTTACTGGACTATCTTCAATTAGGGAAGAGAATTTCCCCAGAAATTCTCAGTGAACTTCCTCTTATGTCTCATTGGCCAGATGGGGCCAGGTGTCCTCTCTAAGCCAGCCCCCACAGATATAACAGGATTGCCATGGCCACCATGTACCTCTTCTGAGCACCGTGCTGCCTGCCCTATACCCAAACAGAACTGGGAATGTCTGAATAAGGATGCAGAGAGCAGTAGCTGATGGATTCCTCAGCCATCACTAGAGTCTCTGTATCTGTCATTTTGCCAATCCTTTGAGCACACCCTTCCTCTTCTCTACAAGGGATCATCCCCCCAGATCTGTGTGATTAACCATTTGCAGAGCATTTATGAAGTGATGAGTCAGCGAGCACATGGCCATTGCCTTGAGGATTAGATCTGTCCACCTCACTTCGGAATCTGTATTCTTCTTGCCAGGCAGACGTCAGACCTGTTCCCGTCCCAGCTACCCCAACTTAGGTTTGCAAACAGACTCCCTGCAGGAGAGGTCTGTATGGAGATTCAAGGGCAGATGCCAAAGCTCCTGCCCGTGCTGTGATCACAAGGGCAGCTGACCGCCAGCTGAGGGCAGGTGGGGAAAGCCCCCATCAGGCAGCAGTACCGCCGCACGCAGCAGCTGCCCCCCATCAGTCTCGTGCACACCAGACTAACCCTTGTTACTCTGCCTAACCAAGGAAATTAATTTCTAAGCGATACCTAAGAGTTACAATTTATTGAGCACTTACTCTGTGCCACGTAGCCTGGTAAGCATTTTATTTCCATGATCTTCATCCTGACAGTCCTGTAGAGCATTTCTGTGTTATGATTAAAGCACAGGATGGAGTAAAACCACCTACAGAATCCCTAGTGTGACATTTATTAGCTGTGTGCCCTTGGGCAAGTTATTTCACCTCTCTGGGCCTCTGCGTTCTCATTTGTACATGGAGAGTAATAATAGCGTGTTAGGAGTCCTGGATGAGTAATAAATATAAAGTGCTTAGTTCACATTTGGTAAAAACGAGCTGTTCTTCTTGTTGCCATTTCTAAAAATGAAGAAACCAGGCTCCGAGGGATTAATTTATCAAACATCACACAGCTGAGTAGCAGGCACACAACTTGACCCAAGTACACACACACACACACACACACACACAGTGTAAGTTTGTCACTTAAAAGCTGGCCTGTTTGCAACCAGCTAATACACCATATATGATACGAGGCCCGAGGGAACACCGCCATTATTCTCCTTATCAGCTGAGAACCCAGTGATACTTTCCGTAAAGAAATAGTGTCCAGCCACCCACCATAAGGACACAGTGCTCCCCACCCCTGGGAGGTGTGGCCATTTCTGGGAGGTGTCTGGGGGAGACTGGGATGCTGGGACGCAGAAGAAAGGGTGTGCCCTGACCAAAGGCGGCAGTATGTGATTCCTGATTCCACCACCGAAACTCGCTGGGCCTCAGCCCCCTCATCTCTCAAAGCGGATTTCTGCTAGGTTTCCTCCCAGTGAGGATTTAGGGATACTGAGTGGAGTCAGGGCTGCTTGTTCTGGAATTAGGGTTTTACGTGGTACCTTATATTTTGTTTCTTATCTCAATGCCCATGTACACACACACACACACACCCAGCTCCATCTTAGTCATGGAAGGTTCTGGAAACCAGGGCTTCAGAATCTTCTGGAAGAAATTATAACTCTGCTAAATGACTGGAGTATAACAAGCAACTGAACTATCTTTTATTTTTATTTTTTAAATGTAAATGTCCCTCCGTTCCTTTTCTTTCCTTCCTTCTCTCCTTCCCACTATCTTTCCTTCCTCCTCCCCTCTGCCCTTCCTTGCTTCCAAAGGAATATATTCACACTGTTAAGTTCAAGAGGCCCCCACAGACACACAGTGAAAGTGAAGGATCTCCCTCCCTTTCTGGTTCCCCAGCCAACGGGCTTCCTCCCGGGAGGCAGTCAGTTTCACACGTGTGTCATCCATTGGTCTGGGGGTAGTCTGTGCATACACGAGAAAATCTGTGTGTGTGTCCCTTTTATATTGTATGGGGTTGTTGTGTTTTATAGCATATAAGCTCAGTGATTCAGGCCCTAGTCAGGGGGAGAGGATGGTCTGTTGGACCTTCCCATTTCTCCTGAGTTACTAGCCTCCATTGTCATTTGCTTTTTTACCAGCTATTGCCGTTGTCCTCTCTGCACCCAGGACCTATTCCCGGGTCCGTCTGGGATGACTTGGCTGTGGATCCCAGAGCTGTCTAGCCCTGCTGGTGGATAATTCCTTAGTTTCAGGACGCTCTGGGCTCTGCTTTGATTTCCCCTTTTGCAGGGAGAAAGCAGGAAGGCTGGGTGGGTCAGAGTAGTCTCCAAAAACATTCACACTGCAGGTGGCCCTCTAGGAAACCCACTTCTCTCCTAAGAGCAGCTTTTAGAACACCTTCCCTTGACTTGGGTTCCTGGTACAGGATCATCAGAGACATAGCCAAGGCCATTGATCCGCAGATTCCAGCCACACACAAATCTCCAGGAGCCCTTGTTAAATGCAAGTTCTCATTCAATTCATCTGTGCAGGGCTGAGATTCTGCCCTAAGAATGAGTGCCCAGGTGATGTAGGCACCACACATCCATGCACTGACCCTGCGTGAGAAGTACTTAGTCATCCTTCCCACCTGTGCTCAACACCGCATTCAGCACCAGACCTCATCTAGAGTCCTGGATCATACATCGTCTGCCTGCATCACCGGTTAGCAGTCTAACACACATTGTCACAAGGCGTCTTCCGACCCTCCAGCGATCCAGTAGGGTGTGGGAATATAACCTTTTTTTTTTAGGTGAGAAAAGCGCTACTCAGAGATTTTAAATAACTCAGCAGAGGTCACACAGCTCATCAGTGACAAAGAGGCAAGTCCCAGCGGTGGACGTCATTGACAGTCCCTGTTGTCCTCCAAGAGCCTGTGTCTGGAGCAGGATCGCTCTTCGCCCTCATGAACAGATTGGATTGCAAGTGTCGTGTTCTCTTCTCTTCCCCTCTTTATCTCTGAGATTTTAATCCTGGCTTCTTGTTTTCAGGAGACTGGGAAGAACTTGACAGAGGGCATAGGCCCAGCAGTCACACTGACCTCGAGAGAATCATCCTTGTGCCTGGGGACCAGCGGACATGTGACCAGGAGAAGGGGGCCTAGAACACAGCCATATCAATCCATACAGGGTGAACGCCCCCCACCACCTCCCCCACGACACATAATACATTTTCCCCGAGATGTCCCCCTGAGCTATCTTCATTTAATGTGGCTTTGACAGGATAGTCAGTCTGGAAATTTTACTCTCAATTAGACTTCCGTGTTGAACTGCCCTGGTTTTGGAAGGATCCATTAGGATCGTTAATTATACAGCAGTTGCTACAAGGAGGTATTTGCACTCACTTTCAGCTCCTAGGTAATTCAAATCAAATGCTTTCTTTTCCTCCCTGGAGCCACGTGTGACCATCTTCCCCTCACACTGCAGGCTGCTCCTGAGTTATTTTGGGAAATACAAATCAAAGCAGCAATTTTGGCGGAGGCCATTTCTAGCCTAGCAAAGCCATATGTACTGATACAAAGAGCCCAAGTCAGTGCCTTTAAAAAAGCCACAAAACCAGCTTCCTCTGTGGGGCTTAAATTTTGTGGAACTGCAAACTATCCTTTTTACTATCATCTTCCCTTGTGAACTCTACCTGAAGTCAAAGACAACTGGAATTCCTTTGAAATTACCAAAGATCTGTCCATTTGCAAACTGGTGCCGAAGATCATTTTGTTTCAAGATGGCAGGCCTTAGCGGAATTTTCTAGGGACTCATGTTTTGGCCTCTGTTACTTTCCCACTCTCTGCTGCTCCTTTCTTTTACCAAGCATAGGTGACATATGTCTTTACCCTAATAAGCAGGCAAACCTCCCTGTGACCCGTTAGAACTTAAGCTCCCTGTGGGCTGGGGCTAAGTTTTTCATCATGTTTTGTGCCTGGCACATGGTAATGTGCTCAAATAGTTGAATGAATAAAATCCTATTTCTGTTTTTCTCTGTCAAAAAAAAAAATCATTATTATATAAATAATAAATGAATGTTTCCATGTTGGGAAAAAGAAAACTTTCCAAATAAGACTAAGGTTTTTTTTTGGATCATTACTTCCAATCCTTATTTCTTCATCATTTCTGCTTAAGTTATCACATTGGGGCACATCCTTGCAGACCTTTCTAATGCATTTATCTACACACACACCCTGAATACTGTTTTTGTAGACCCTTGATAAGCAGATTATTCTGCCACTTGCGTATTCCCACTCAGCAGTGTATCAAAGAGTGCTGCCCAGGTCAGCTGCCTTATTCTTTGTGACTGCTACAGTTTTATTACATGGTGTGGATATAATACTTTTCATTTTCTTTCAGTTCAGGATTTCTGCTTATGTACATGTTGGCAAACTAAAATGTCCACTGCTGTCTTTTGGTGGCCACGACACATTTCGTGAAAATCAACCAACTGCCTTGGAGATTAGGCCAAACCCAGTAGACAGAAGCATGTGAAATGCTAAGGGTTGCCAGAGAGACCTGAATTCTCTTGTCTGCAGAAGCTGTGGAAGTACACCCTCTGCTAGAAATTGTACAGGGCTTGCTAAATGAGTGACGTTAGGTCTGGTGTTGGGTCTGCCCATAGCCAGCTGGCTGTCCTTGGGCAGGTCATTTCCTCTCTGTGGACCTTATTTTCCTCATCTGCACAATGGGCATAGAGAGCCTCTTTCACCCGTCAGACTCTGAATAATAGGCCTTACTTACACAGTGCCACCAGGATTGATAACCAGAATGTAGTAGCTTACTCTCCACTACATGTTAGGATGGAAAATGGGCAATTTTTAAATAGATTTTAATTTTAATTAATTAAACATATCTTATCACATTGAGTTAATCAATTATATTTTATTATGTTTTAATTAACATAGATTTTTAAATTTTTAAATAGGCATTCAGTCCAGAGCTCTTAGCCGAGTTGATGTCACAAAGACATTATGTTGGCCAGAAATGTACTGCCTTTGCATCTTGCTCTTCTTTCTTATTCTTATTCAATTAAAACGTAATTTTTTTCTTTTGCTTGATGTGGTTTTTTCATTCCAAGCAAGGCAGTTTGATGTTGGGGAAAGAGATTATGGACCCTGAGTTCCGTTTCCAGGTTTGTCCGATTCCAGCTGTGTGTTCTTAGACAAGTCCCTAACCTTCTCTGGGTTTCCATCTACTAATATTAGGATTCCATATTAACCCAGTATCCACTAAAAAAAAATAAAGTTAAAAACCACACTCACTCGTGAGTGTTTCATCTGGCATTTCTGAGCCCTGTCACCTGCAGATAGATCATCTCGTGAATGGATGAGGCATCCTAAGAGACCACCAAAACCCCTGAAATTGTCGTGTTTCACATGAGAATGGTGCAGCTGCCCTGGCCCCTGGTGACACACACCAAGTCCTTCGGAGGGTTCCGAGGGAGGCCCAGAGGAGGTTCTGCGCTGCCATGATTCATCGGTAGATTCCCCCCAAGCCCTGAGCTGTGTTGATCGTGTACTCCCCTGCACTGAGACGCAGGACCACAAGTGTCACCGCCTGATTCACATGCCTGTGGGTGTCCCTGGGGGTCCCAGTCAAGGCTTTCCCACGTGGGGTGAGAGTTCTGGCCCTCTGTCTTGGCATTGCACGTTGGTCTGAGGACAGTCTGGTTCTGCAGGTGAAAGGTCAGGGTGAATGGGTGTGAAAGCGTGGGAGCCATAGCCTCACAGGGTCCCTGGGTGTTGGCTTTCCTGTTCACAACACTGATTTGTGCCCCTACCGTGAGCTTCTGTTTCGAGCACCCCGAGGGTGAGCATTTCAGGGTTGAAAAGGCCCGTACAGGAATGAGGCCCGTTTGTGGTGTTCTTCCAGCACCCGCTGCTGGGGCAGGTGCCTTCACCTCTCAGCCTCCACTTCCTGCCTGCTGGGACTTCAGGAGATGAAATGAGACTCTTCAGTAGGTGCTCAGCCCAAGTTCCCCTTCCCCTTCCCCTTTCTTAGACAGGGAAACAGAATGTTGTAGCCTCTGAATCTGTAACTGAGCTTCCCAAAGCCTACCGTAAATATTTTTCACATTAACCAAACGGCAGCACGATGAATGAAGAGAGTATCATCAGCATGGTCCACGCCTTAAATGAGTATCACAGTGATGACGGGCCTTTGCATTTGCCAAGCCTCACTTGCTGCAGATTTTTTAACAGCTATCTCCCCATCCTGTTTCAAACACTTGCCAATCTGGTTTGCATGGTTGCCGATAAATGCAGATCAAGAGGCCTTGTCCCTCCCTGTATCTGATCCTCCTCTGAGTGATCAATACCGTTTTAATTCACAACTTGGAAACTTTTAAGAAATGAGTCAGCCTGACCTATGATTCACAATACTTGATCTGAAATGCTTGATGTGGCGGTGGGGTGGGACAGCGAGTCAGAAATAAATTCCCTGACCCTAAAAGCCAGCTTAAGTGAAGTAGCAGGGGCTGGTGGGGGTGGGGGGGTGGGGGGAGCATGTGTCTAGTTACCAGTTACCATCTTGGCGGGGGGCATGGTTCCTGCTCTTCAGGAGCTGCACTGTGTTGGGGATACTTAGGGTGGCCAAGCAACCAGCGTTGCTCAAAGAGTTACAGCTTGTGCCTGTTCACCAGCCATTGCACTGTCAGGAGTGTCACAGTGTGGAAATACAGGGTTCTGGGAAGACAAGCCTGGGAGTTCTTACATAAAGGTCAGAGGTTTCCTTTTATTTGTTGTGCATCCCCAGTGCCTGGCCTCCAGCAAACAGTAAATAAGGCTTGCTGGCTGGGTGGTGAGTGATAGATTCTTAACCTCTTTACTTGCTCTGTGAATTTCTATTTCCTGTATATCTGTATGCTGGTGCTGTGTTCTCATAGTATCTTTTGACTAATCCAGAGCTTCAGATGGCAACTGCTTTGGCTGCAGGTATGCAACTGTGCCCTGTAGCTTTGTGAGTTTCATTGAGTTTCCCACATGAGTGACTACTTATCAAAGTGCCAAGAACACTGGTTTCCTTGTGTAAGCTCCTAAGAAAGGGTGGTGGAGGTGGGAGGTGTGCTATTGTTATTAGCTGTCTGGCTTTGCTACCAGTTCTGGTCGTTTCTCCCCGGGCAGAGGATTCCTAGACCTGAAAAAAAGAAAAGAAGAAAAAAGACTTATCAAAAATATTCTAAGAAATTGGCAAAAAAAGTAAAAAAGCCACCCATAGTCTCATGATCCTCGCAAGCATAAGAGCAGTCGTCATTACCTGTGCACTGTAAACCGTGGGCACTGTTTTGTGCAAAGTTTTTTACACAGTTGTTATCTTAAGATGCTTTCCATTTTTCCTGCTTGCATTTTTTGGCAATCATTGTCCATGTTATTTCAGATCTCTTTAACAACCATTTTTTCATTTGTTTTTATCCATGTGGTTGTTACTTAATTTTTTCCAGGTTACTTACTTTTTTCCCTTTGGTAAATGAAGTTTTCTCCTATTATGTCCTGTAGCTCAGAAGAATCCCAGAAATGAAATCATTGGATCAGAAGATAGGAATGTTGTTAAATTACATCTATAGCTATATTTAAATTAATAAAGTTTACTTTTAGAGAAATTTTAGATTTACCAAAACTTGAGTAGAAAGTACAGAGAACCCTCATTCACCCGTCCCCCAGCCCCCGTTCCCCATATGATTAACATCTTGCATTAGTATAGTACACTTTTTACAATTTATACCAATATTAACACATTGTGATTAACTGAGGTCCTCAGTTTACATGTAGGAGTCACTTTGTGTGGTGTTTAGTTATGTGGGGTTTTATCATGGATCCACCACTACAGTATCACACAGAGCGTTTTCACAGCCCTAAAAATCTCNTTCTAGTATATCACATAATTACAATCACACAGTCTGATGGACTTCTTTCACCTGGCAATACACATTTAAGGTTTTCCATGGTCTTTTCATGGCTTGATAGTTCATTTCTTCTCAGTGCTGAATAATTTCCATTTCTGGGATGGACTGAAGTTTATCCATTCACATACTGAAGGACATTTCTGTTGCTTCTAAGTTTTGCCAGTTGTGAATATGAATAAGCGACTATAAACATTCATGTGCAAGCTTTCGAATGGATGTAAGTTTTCATCTCTTGGGAAGATGCTAAGGAGCATGATTGCTGGACCACAGGATAAGACTATTTTCACTGTGTAAGAAACTGCCAAAGCTTTATATGTTTTCTATTTGTTCAATGGTTTTAGTTATACTACTACTAATATTGTTGATCTTCAAAATAACCCCTGGGTTGGAAGTTATTAGCTTCACCTTCTGGTTAATATCATCAAATTTTATTGCTGAAAGGAATGCTGGAAATCTCCAAACCTTTAAGATTCCTGAGAGCAACATCTGCCTTTGCCATCACTTCACCCCACAGCCTCCAGGACAGAGTGTATATAATACGTGCCCAATGAATGTTCATTACACATGGACTACAGGTAAAGGAAAAACCACCTCACCATATAGATAAGAACATGAAGGTCCAAAAAGGAGAAGCGAGTTGCCTCTGGCCGAGCAGAACTTCACTGAGAGCAGAGCCAAGACCAAAGGCTGACGATGGCGCTTTGTCGATCGGTGGACCTGTAATTTGAGGGATCAGCCCTGAATCACTAGATACAAGCAAGGCGAGCGTTAGGACTCTTGAATCCATATTTAGTGTTATGATAAACACCCTCTCCTCACTTTGAGGCCCACCTTCTAGTCAGTACCACTACCGTGTCACCCAGAGATGCCCAGCGTGGTGCCTTCGTCTGGGTTCAGATGCACTGTGGTTATAGGGTCTCATAGAAAAACAGCAACAATACTAATAGTAACAATAGTGGCCAAGAATTGCTGATTGCTTAGTATTGTCTTTACACATATTACTTCATTTCACCCTCCCAGCCACTTCTGGTTAGGTACCATTAGTAGCCACAATGCAGAGACCAGATTGAGGCTTAGGGAGATCTAGTAACTTGCCCAAGGCTCTGCAAGGATTAGAGGTAAAGCCAAAAATGCATTCCTCCATTCTTGACTCCACAGTGTACTATGCCACAGTTCAGAGCATGAGACTTAAGCGTCAGCAGGACCTAGGTGAGTATTCTAGGGCTACCATTTTGCCAGCCACATGTCTTGACTTTGTGACTTCTAACTGCAATATGCTTATCCGTAAAATGGAGATAGTAATAACTACCCATGAAAAATGCTGTCATCTTTTCAATAGCCATTGCCTAGCCATTACCTAGTACCTTGGTAGGTTCAGGTGGTAGGAAGGAGGCCCCAGATCTCAGGGAAGACAGGCCCCAATCCCAGCCTTACAAGATGAATTGAGATTGATTTAAACCAGATATGGCAGTGGTAGGCATGTTATGTAGTTCTGTTAGGGGTATAATGCTAGGGAGGGGTTGGTTCTCTTTCCAAATAAAAAGATAAAGCCAATCATGGAAGAAGCCTGTTCTTATCCTTTCTTGATGTCTAGATGTTGGAAATGATACCTGGAGGTGCAGCAGCCATATTGCAAGCATGAGGTGACAAGACAGCAGACTAAAATGGTGGCACAAAAAGGATAGGAAGAGCCTGGATCTTAGCACTGTTCAGCTGTTCTACCAACTAAGACAGAAGGCTACTGCTAGATTTCTTATTACTGAAACAATTCCTACTTGTTTATGCCACTCTAAGTTGAATTGTCTTTTATTTGAAGCTGAAATCATTTCTAATAGAGATACAGATTTCTACCAAAAAACAGTCTTGGGCACCTTACCATGGTAGTGAAGAACCCAATTTCTCAAGCCAGCATTCCTGGGTACTACTCAGAGATCTGCCACGTACTGGCTGTTTGACTAGGACAAGTCACTTAGCTTCTCTGTGACTCAGTGTCCTCATCTGTAAAATGCTCAAAAAATGCTCAATAAATTGAGTATTGAATGAAGGATAATAGGACTTACTTCAAAGGATCATTATGAGCATTACATGACTAAATGTTTTATAAAAGGATTAGAACATTGCCTGACATATAGTGAGTGGTTATATACATGTT